TATTTATGTAATACAATTATACAAATAAAATAAAAATATATTTGGTTGTCATATAATACAATTTTGATCACTGGATACAATTTTTAGTTTTCACCATGAAAGTAAAGTACCAATTTTAATTTGAATGGTAAACTGAGCACATAAAATTCAAAAGTTATTGGTATACAATTATGATGAAAACATAATAAAAGTGAAAGTTCCGATTTTGGAGAACACTAATTATATCGAAGTTCCAGTTGGGAATTCTTCCTCCCAAGTTGTTTGTCAACGAAATTTTAATTGTTTCATTCAAATTTTTCTTCCCAATAAAAAAAACCCGCAATTGAATCGAATTCACTTCAGAGATTGAGTATTATCAATGGAATGTTAAAAATTGATTTTTGAAATCTTATGAAAAAGGGGGACGGGTGCTTTGAAATTCTAACTGATGAGAATTTTAAGTAATATGTTCCTTTTATAAAATATTCTCTTTCCTAATTTTCTCTTTTCTGTTATCAAATAATTGTATTCTTGCAAATCAAATAAATAAAAAATATATAAATTATATACATAACAAACTAAAATATTGACATTTTTAATAAATATTGAAAGTATGGCTAAGGAGTCCTATTAAATGTCAAAATATTGACATTTTGAAAAAAAAATCGGAAAATTTAAGAAATTGGCCCAAGTCAAGTAATTTTGTGTGGTTTGGCCCAGTTTAGTATAGTCAATTCAAAATCAATTTCAAATAAGTTAGGCTTGTTCAAATGACTGAGCATTATTAATTAGTAGATAAAAAATTTAATTGCGTTGGTTGGAGGATAAATAAAAATATTATTTATTCTTATAATGAGATAGGGTGGAGAGTAGGGGTGTGCAAAAACCGATTTAACCAATAAACCGAATCGAAAAAAACACTATTGGTTTATTGATATTGGGTTATTGGGCTAACGGTTTTTAAACGGTTTTGCAAAAATTTTATTGGGTTATTGGTTCGGTTTCCGGTTTTATAATTTTTGTTAATGGTTAAACCGATAACCTAATAAGACTATACTAAATTTACTAGTCTTATTGTTAATGGTTAAACGATTGTTACTTTCACACTTTTT